GTGTTAAGAACAGGCCGCCCGAACTCGACCTCTGTGTTCTGTATGGGACATACGGTGTACTATGGTGTACTATTTCGAGGCTGATTGCGTTCACCACACTTTCAAAAGGCTTACAGCATGCATTCTTGTAAATACGTTATAGAAAGATTTCTCACCACAGGGAATTCCCTAGCACGCAACTCGCACAAGACAGCCGGGCAGCAAACGTGCAGGTCATCGGATCGACAAGGGACAATAAACATGAAGAAAGTCACCCAAGAAGCGAGCATTATGCAAAGAGAGACCCTTTGTCAAACATCATGGAAGCAAACATTCGATAGGTTTTCAACACTTTCGTAGCTTGTGTAATTCAAGGTGATTGGTTGAGTATATAATACAATTCATGTATTTATGTTTGTCTTTCCTGTCGTTCCCCATTGGGCCGTTCAGTGTACGGGTCGAGCTACTGCATTTTAATCAACCAAACATGTTCAGAATAAAAGGGAAACGGTAAAAATATTAACGGGCCGGACAAGGTAGGAACGAGATAAGGTAGATTTGGGGGCTAGGTTTTGATTCCACATGTGAACATAGTTCTCTAAGTTAATTTAAGGCTTGGAACGATTGAGTTGGTGTTTGCGATTGGGAGATTAGTTAATTAGTTTGGTGAGGCTGGATATGTTGCCGACTAGATACATTTGAATCGAGTTTGGCAAAGACGAGGGTGAATGGATAATGGGGTCGGTGTTTAAATATGTCGTCGTCATAATCCTCATCATAGCGCCAATAGGATACTTTGGCTGCTTGGCTGGGGTAAACATACTTGTCCCTTTTTTGCCAGTTCTGAGAATGCGTACGTTTATGTGAGCATGCGTGCTTAGTTCTGAGCACGCACGGTACTGTAAAGAAAGACTAGTATGTCTGCTGCCACCAGCGTCTCAACCTGTCTCATTCCAAGATGCTCGCAGGCGTTTCACATTATTCAACTTACTAAATACTAACACCAAAAAATTAAGTTTAAAACATTTTCTCATTGACCAAGAAAAACAGAAACTGCTCAGAAGTTCCCTGAGAAAAGTTTGGCCGTTTTCCTTTCTCTATGAGGATTACCTTGAACAAATAAATTGCATGTCAGTGAATCCTCAAATACAACGAAAAGGATCAAGCATTCACCCATCTTGGGAAACCAACTTAAATCGATTGAATGATCTCGATCTAACCGGGTCAAAAATGTTACTTACAAAAAAACCTAATTTCACAAGTTCATTGGGCCAAGCGCCAAATCGCATCCTAATATCATGACAAATTGCTACGACGAATTAAAAAGATGGTTCTCCACAATCCGTAATGAGAATCCACCTCTCTATGTCTCAGGCCCCGGCAAAGCAAGTTCAGAAATTGCTCTAAGTAGGTAAGTTTCAACAGTTGCCGAACAATATAAACCCGAACAGTGTTTTAGCTTTCAGTGGGTCCATAAATCGTTGAGAGACCAGCTTTAGTATAAAGCACCATACAGCAAGCGTACGTCCAAATGAAATTAAAACAATAGAAAGAGATCAAACTTACAAATGAGAATACTAGCACCTCTGTGCGAAACTTCCTGAAGGAACAGCGGATCGGGACCACCAACGTTGGAAAGTGCGAGACGTCCTGAAGGAACAGCGGATCTAGACCACAGACGTTGCAAATGCAAGACCATGAACGTGAATGAGTCCTTAACAGAGAAACTGCACTATTGCATGGGGTTAGGCTATCGAAACACGGCGACAGGAAAAAAATATGCTGTAAAACAACAGAACCGTGACGTGAAACAGGCGTTTCATAACTATGGGGCGCCGTTTGTCAAATAACTAGTCAGCAAATTTTGAGCATTTTTATAACAGTTAAACTTAACAGTTTTGTTACTGTAGTAAAAACTCTTTTGTGGTTCGTAAATCATGAAAAATTGTCCAAATTTATGGTATGTAAAGAAAAAGTGTGCTTAAAGCATGACAACTAAAGGAAAGTACACTTGTACGGTGTGTCAACCATGCAGGATATAATGTCATTAGTTTCATGGTTTATAAACGAAACTCACCTACTTGTCATTTTAGCTCCTCGTTGAAAACTATCCATTTCTACCACGGACGTGACTGGGACGTATTCACGGATATTGAAAAAACGTACCACACTGAGAAATGCAAGTTTAAGTTCATGCAGAGGGGCATTCATCCTCGGACAATACTTACAAAGTGGTTTGCTCATCCATGTCACCCAGCAAAAGGCTACACCTTGTGGAAAGTATAACGAATAATTTGCTAGTGCTTTCTGCCACATCTACGTCAACACGAGTCACATAGGCCTACACAGTTAATATTCAATCATTCAGGGAATACTCACTGCAGTCATTACGGCTGGTATCGGTTTTACTTCAACAGGTCTTTATCAAA